TGCCCCTCACGGATGTGCCCCCTAAAACGCACCCCAGTACACCTCCTGTGCACAGGTCCCCTCCTTGTTTTCCTGGGAAATCCACCTACATCAAGAGGATTTCATCAGTTTATTCATGTGACTGAAAAGTTGAGGAGCCCAGAAGGTCAAATGGGGGTCACAAGGGCCGGGGCAGGTTAGTGGGGAGTGGGTGTTTAATGGGGCCAGAGTTTCAGTTTGTGAAGATGATAGAGTTCTCTCAAAGTGATCAACAAGGGCGGTGCCTGTGGCTCAGTGGTTAGGGCACCGGCCCCATATACCAAGGGTGGTGAGTTCAAACCTGGCCTGGCCAAATTGCAAGAAAAAAATAGCCGGGCATTGTGGCGGGCGCCTGTAGTCCCAGCTGCTGGGGAGGCTGAGGCAAGAGAATCGCCTAAGCCCAAGAGATGGAGGTTGCTGTGAGCTGTGACACTCTACCAAGGATGACAAAGTGAGACTCTGTCTCTAAAAAAAAAAAAAATTAATCAACAAGAAAAGAGCAAATAACTCCATTTATCTTTGGATGAGAGACATTAACAGAAACTTCTCCCAAGAAGACAGATGAATGGCCGACAAACACATGAAAACATTCTCACCATCCCTAATCATCAGAGAAAGGCAAATCAAAACCACCCTGAGATATCCCCTAACCCCAGTGAGAACAGCACACATCAGAAAGTCCCAAAGCTGCAGATGGTGGTGCGGATGCAGAGAAGGGAACACTCATCCACACTGCTGGTGGGATTACAAACTAATACAGCCTCTCTGGAAAGAAGTGTGGAGAGGCAGACCTTCCATGGGATCCCACAGTCCCATTACCAGGACCTACCTGGAGGAAAAAAATCATTTGACCATAAGGATATTTGCACCAGAATGTGTACTGCAGCTCAGTTCATAGCTACCGAGATGTGGAATCAACCCAAGTGCCCATCAGCTCATGAATGGATTAACAAACAGTGGCCTGTGTACACCGTGGAATGTTACTCAGCCACGGAAAAGATGGAGGCTTTGCATCTTCCGTATTTACCTGGATGGGGCTGAAGAACATTCTCCTTAGTAAAGTACCAAAGTAATGGAAAGCTAGTACCCAAAGTTCTTAATACTAACATGAAACCAACATCTAGAAAACTACAAACCCACACAAGAGAAAACCACAATTAAATTCCTGTGCGGGGAGGGGGCAGGAGAGAAGGGAAGGAGAGAGGGGATTGGTGTGCTCTCACCTATGGGCAGTGAGGGGCATTCCACAAAATACCTGACCAGTGCTCCTCAAAACCGTCAAGGTCGGTTCGGCTCCTATAGCTCAACTGGCTAAGGCGCCAGCCATGTACACCTAAGGTGGCGGGTTCGAATCCCCAGCCCGGACTCGCCAAACAACAATGACAGCTGCAACCAAAAAAAAAAAAAAAATAGCCGGGCCGGGTGCCTGTGGTCCCAGCTACTTGGGAGGCTGGAGCCGGAGACTCGCTTCAGCCCAGGAGTTGGAGGTTGCTGTGAGCTGTGAAGCCACAGCACTCTACCCAGGGGGATAGCTTGAGGCTCTGTCTCAAAAAAAAATAAATAAAGTCAAGTAGCACCAGGCCTCTAATAAAAAAACAATGGTTTGGTGGCACCTGTAGCTTAAGCAGCTAAGGCGCCAGCCACATGCACCAGAGCTGACGGGTTCAAACCGGCCCGGGGCCTGCCAAACAATGACAATTCCAACCAAAAAATAGCCGGGTGTTGTGGCAGGTGCCTGTAGTCCCAGCTACTTGGGAGGCTGAGGCAAGAGAATCACCTAAGCCCAGAAGTTGGAGGTTGCTGTGAACTTGACACCACAGCACTCTACCCAGGGTGACAGCTTGAGGCTCTGTCTCAAAAAAAGAGAAAGGAATGGTCCATGGTACCTCTTCCAGAACAAACAGTGTTACTTAGTTCTGATTTTAGTTTTTTTATTGTGGTCATCCCCATAGGTTTAAACCTAAGCCTCAAACTGCCATCACTTCATTTATCTGTGTAAATCACAGTTGTCTGACTGCCTACCACAACAGCCCAGGTGTCTGCTAGCTGGAGAAACCGGCGCTGCCACCCAGTTTTTTTTTTGTTGTTTGTTTGTTTTTCAAAAAGAGTCTCACTTTGTCACCCTCGGTAGAATGCTGTGCTGTCATAGCCCACAGCAACCTCAAACTCCTGGACTTAAGTGATTTTCTTGCCTCAGCCTCCTAAGTAGCTAGGAGCGCCTGCCACGATGGCCAGCTATTTTTAGAGATGGGGGTCTTGCTTTTGCTCAGGCTGGTCTCGAACCTGTGAGCTCAGGCAATCCACCCACCTTGGCCTCCCAAGTGCTGGGATTACAGGTCTGAGCCATCGTGCTCCACCTCACCACCCAATTTTATTTGCTCTGAGTCCTTCCTCCATCGCAGGGTCCCCAATCCTCAGCGATGCTCATGACACCATCACGACTTTTGTTTTATCTGTCCAGCACTTGTCATTTTGTCATATTGTCATTTACTTACTATTTGTCCTTTGATCAATTTCCGTTTTTGTTTCTGTTTTTTTTTTTTTTTTTTTTTTTTTTTTGGAAAAGGGCTCCCCTTTTCCCCCCGGGGAAGAGAAATGTGGAGTCACAACACACAGAAACTTCAAACTCTTGGTTTTAAGCGATTTTTTTTTTTTTTTTTTTTTTTTTTTTTTGGAGACGGAGGCTCAAGCTATCCCCCTGGGTAGAGTGCCATGGCCTCACGCTCACAGCAACCTCCAACTCCTGGGCTCAAGCGAGTCTCCTACCTCCGCCTCCCAAGTAGCTAGGACCACAGGCACCTGCCACAACACCCGGCTATTTTTTGGTTGCAGCCGTCATTGTTGTTTGGCGGGTCGAACCCACCACCTTAGGTGTATGTGGCTGGCGCCTTAGCCGGTTGAGCTATAGGCGATGAGCCTTAAGCGATTCTCTTGTCACAGCCTCCCAAGTAGCTGAGACTACAGGTGCCTGCCACAACCCCCGGCGATTTTTGTTGTTGTTGTAGTTGTCATTGCTGTTTGGCCATGTTTGAACCCGCCACCCTCAGTGTATGTGGCTGGCGCCGTAACCACTGTGCTGTGTGTGCTGAGCCTCCACATGTTTTTATATGCAATATTTCAGTTATTGCTTGTTTATTCAAGATACAATTTTACTTGCCATTATACTTTTTTCTTGGGCCTTTGGGTTTTTAGGAGCATTGCTTAATTTCCAAAGATATGAAGTTTTTTTTTTTTTTTTGAGACAGAGCCTCAAGCTGTCCCCCTGGGCAGAGTGCCGTTGCATTACAGCTCACAGCAACCTCCAACTCCTTGGCTCTAGCGAGTCTCCTGCCTCCGCCTCCCAAGTAGCTGGGACCACAGGCGCCGGCCACAACGCCCGACTATTTCTTTTGGTTGCAGCCGTCATTGTTGTTTGGCGGGCCCGGCTGGGGATTCGAACCCGCCACCTTAGGTGTACGTGGCTGGCGCCTTAGCCGGTTGAGCTATAGGCGCCGAGCCAGATATGAAGATTTTTTAATGACTATTTCTAACTTAATTATATTATAGTCAGAAAGCATATTCTGCATGATTTCAATTCCTTGAAATTTTTTTGAGACTTGCTTCCCAGTGGAGTCCATATTTGTAAATTTCCAATGTGGGCTTGGAAACAATGTATATCCTTAAGTAGTTGTTGGGTACAATGTACTGTATATGCCCATTAGGCCAAGTTTGCTGACCATATTATCTGAGTCTATATATCCTACTGATATTTTTCTGTTCATTCTGTGAGTTACTGAGAAAGGTAAGAAGTGTACTAATTCCTCCCACCACGGTTGTGGGTTTGTCCATTTCTCCTTGGCTGTTCTCTGTTGTTTTTTTCCAGTTTTCATTTATGTTGTCTTGTCCCTGCCTGTGCCTAGTTACTTTTATTGTGTGCCTGACATTCAAACGTTAAGCTCGGCGCTGGTAGCACAGTGGTTCCACAGTGCCAGCCACATATATGGAGGTTGGCGAGTTCGAGCCCAGCCCACGCCAGCTGAACAACAATGACAACCCCAACAACAACAACAACAACAAAATAGCCGGGTGTTGTGGCGGGTGCCTGTAGTCCCAGCTACTTGTGAGGCTGAGGTAAGAGAATGGCTTGGTTCCAGGAGTTTGAGGTTGCTGTGAGATTGAGACGCCACAGCACTCTACCATGGGCAACATAGTGAGACTCTGTTTCAAAAAAAAAAAAGAAATAAAATAAAATTTCAAACATTGAGACCTGGAATGTTGTTATTTTCCTGCAGAAAGATCTATAAAACTGGGTTTAAGGCACTAGCAATCCTAAATCCAGTTTTAGACCTTGATATTCGAACCTGAGTTAGTTCTCGGTGCTTCCTCCCAGGGGCTACTGCTGCCAAGTCCCAACCTAAAATGCAAGCCGTGTGCCAGCTTCAGCCAGCTCGTCTCCCCCTACCTCTAGGAGCTACCAAAAGCACTGCTCTGTCCCCACCCCCCGCCAGGCTGGAGTGCAGTGGCATGATCCCAGCTCACTGCAACCTCAAACTCCTTGGCTCAGGCAGTCCTCCTGGCTCAGTCTCACTAGTATCTGGGACTACTGGTAGTTCACCACCACCCTAGTTATTTTATTATTATTATTATTATTTGTAGAGACAGGGTCTCACTGTTGCCCAGGCTGGTTTTAAACTCTGGCCTCAGTTATCCTCTTGCTTCTGCCTCTCCAAGTGCCAGGATTACAGGTTTGAGCCGGGTTGCCTGGCCTCAGCCATTTCTTCTTAAGTTAGCAAACACCCTCAGGGAAAAAGTGGTCCCAAATGCTGAACTTCGTGACTTTGTACTGGATATTGGCCCAGTAATTCTTCACCACACTGTTAGCTCTCCAGCGCCTTCAGACTGGCGTTTTGTTTTGCTTTGTTTTCTCCGGCTTTGCTAGTGGTCCTCAGTGGAAGGATTGATGCAAACCACTTAGTCACCTTTATAAAACTCAAAACTCACGCTTGCTACAGCATCACATAAATTAAAATTGGAACAATACACAGAAGATTAGCATGGCCTCTGTGCAAGGATGACATGCAATTTCCTGATATATCCCGTATATAAAAAAGAAATCAAACTCTCACCTCAGCCAGGAGCAGGGGCTCACACCTAATCCCAGCACTTTGGGAGGTTGAGGCAGGAGAATTGCTTGGGGCCAGGAGTTTGAGACCAGCCTGAGCAAAAGCAAGACCCCATCTCTACTAACAACAGAAAATATTAGCCAGGTGTAATGGTGCATGCCTGCAGTCCTAGCTACGTGGGAGGTTGAGATAGGAGCCCAGGAGTTTGGGACTGCAGTGAGCTGTGATGATGGCACTGCTCTCCAGCCCCAGTGACAGTGTGAGAAAAACTCTCCCTTCATTCTTCAAAGAGAAAAGCCACAATTTTCTATTCCACAGAAGTAACAGACTCTCCTTTCCATTCTGCAAGAGCTCTCTTCCATAATGTAACAACAGAAGTCTGATGAGAATTTGAGGGAAGGGGGCTGCTTCTCTGAAAGGCAGGAAGCATCAAGAACAGAGGTGGCGACTCGCAGCCAAAATAGTAATACAGAGTGGGAGGGAGGGAGGGAGGAAGGAAGGAAGGGAAAAAAGAAGGAAAAAAAGAAGGAAGGAAGGAGAGTGAAAACACAGAAAAGTTTAAGCCAATGTCTTCAAATCTGGTTAAATTCACAGCTACCATTAAAACCTCTGTGCATGACAGGACCGCCCCTTGGTGACAGCGTGTCCTAATTGTAGGCAATGTTCCTAAATGGGAAACAAAGGCCCCAGAGCCTTTAACCAGTGATCCTTCCCCATCACTTGCTAGCTGGGCAGGTCACATCATCTCTCTGAGGTGTTAGTACCATCAACTCTGAAATGGCCTGAGGATACCTCCTCAACACAAGGTCATGGTCATAGTGACATGGACAGCCGCTGTGAGAACACCAGGCACAGGGTAGGCCCTTGACAAATGGTGATTCTTCCAGCCTTACCCAAATCCTTCCCAGCTGCCAGTAAACCTTCCTCAACTGTCATCTTCTAATAACAGCAAAGATAGCATTTACTGAGTGCTCACTATGTGCCAGAATGGTCCTAAGTGATTTATTTACTTATTTTAGATAAAGTCTTACTCTGTCACCCTGGGTAGAATGCCATGAAGCCCTGGGCTCAGGCACACTCCTACCTCAGCCTCCCAAATAGCTGTGACTATAGGCGCCCACCACAATGCCCAGCTAGTTTTTATATTTTTAGTAGAGACAGGGTCTCACTGTTGCCCAGGCTGGTCTCAAACTAATCACTGCCCATCCTCGCCCCGCCCAGCAGAGACAGGAAGTTCCCGATCTACAAACTAATTGTGTTCCTAAAATTCTTTTGTAAGGCTGTTGCCTGGATGACGGAACCACTTTCCCACATAAACAATGTCATAAATGGCTGTGGGACCTCAGCGAGCCCTCAGAGCCATCCTGCCCGTCAGCCACTGCACATTTGAAAGATTTGAAAGGAAAGAGAACAGAACATCAGGTCAGAATCACAGTCATTAACAATGCAGGGAAACACCGATGTGTGGGGCAGGGAGACGTTTGTTCGTCTTCCATGCAGGCTGCTTGAGGAAGTGCCAGCCCAGAAAGAGGGGGCAACTTTCTGTGCCGGGCAGGGATGGCCTGGGACCAGCTCCAAAGCCAGTTATCTCCCACTGATAAGCCCAAACAGCAACTGGCCCAAGATTTTTGCCCAAAGAATGGGTCTGATGGTGGGGATGGTGTGGAGCTTCCGAGGGGCCAGCCCAACCCGGCCTGGTCACTTTCTGCATGTGTGACCCCAAGGAAACTACTGGACCTCTCTAAGAGTTCCCATGTGGGACGTGGCACTCCTTAGTCCTTCCTGAGGTGGGGCAGTGGGGAGACAGTATGTGGCAAGAACTTAGCACAGCCTCTGGCACATAGTAGGTGCTCAATAAATGGTGGGTCATATTGTTAAAAATAACGAAACTTCCTGGGCGGTGCCTGTGGCTCAAAGGAGTGGGCACCAGCCCCATATACCGGAAGAGGCAGGTTCAAACCCAGCCCTGGCCAAAACCTGCAAAAAAAATAAAAAGATAACAAAACTTCCACAAAGTCCGTGCCCGGGAAAGAAAAGAAGAACTAAATGGGGAAAGACAGGTCCACAGCACCCAAAGCTTGTGTGGAGTTCGTGACCTGAAGAGGTGGGACTCTCTTATCTCAGGTCCTGGCCAGCTTCTCCACTCAGCAATGGACTCAGGACTAAAAATGGAGAAGCAACATCTAAGTCGGAGTCTCACAGGGACTTGGGATTTTGAAATAGGCTGAGAGGCTGTCTTCAGCCAGCCAGGACAGCTTTGGAGCCTCCCGATACCCTGTAACTACAATTCACAGGCCAGGGAAGCAGGCTGGCCCACCGTCTCAGCCTGGGGCTGATCAGCATGGTCTCCAGACTGCTTATTCACTAAGAGCTTCTAACTTTAGGGAGTCTCTTCAACAGAAATCTGCATAGCTACCTTTTAACTAAGGGCAACCACAGAATTCCAGGGCCCGTGCTCAGGTTTGCCATGGCCTGATAGCCGTTCAGTGCAACTTTAATAGCCATGTGACACCAAGGAGAGTGTAAGGGTGGACGTAAGACTGAAGATGCAAAGGCCGGGCACGGTGACTCGCGCCTGTAATCCCAGCACTTGGGAAGCCGAGGTAGGTGGATTGCCTGAGCTTACAGGTTTAAGACCAGCCTAAGCAAGAGCAAGACCCTGTCTCTAAAAATACCCAGGCATTGTGGCAGGTGTCTGTAGTCCCAGCTACGCGGGAGGCTGAGGCAAGAGAATTGCTTAAGCCCAAGAGTTTGAGGTTGCTGTGAGTTGTGACACCACCGCACTCTATCAAGGGTGACAAAATAAAAGTCTTGTCTCAAAAAAAAAAAAAGAGTGAAGGATGCATTCACAACAAGAGAAGGGTGAGCAGCGTTCACATGTGTTTTGAGAAACCGCGGATTTGTAATAGTGCAGATGGAGAAAAGGGACCAGAAAATTAAGTCATGACAGGTGATTAAGGAATGGGCCGTATTCCTGCCCTGAACAGGTTACAGCTAGATGGCACTGCCCATTGCCGTAAGCTCATGTTGTTTACTTGAATTCCCTTAGTCTTGTAATTTTGACTGTGTTTAATTTATACATTTGTTTTGGTTTCATTGTTGCAGATAGTACAGATTTATTTTAATTTTATTTTCAGATTAACATGAGGGTACAAACAATCAGGTTACAATGTTTGCATTTGTTAGGAAGAGTCCCTGTCGTAGTTGCATCCCCCACCCAGGAGATGTGCCATGTACCCTTATATTGTGCCCACTAAGTGGGAGCACACTGATCCCCCACCTCCTCCCTTCTCCCCTTCTCTCCTTCCCCCTTCCCCATCTTGAATTGAATTGAGTTTTCCTCTTATGTGGGCTTCATACTGGGATTGAGCACATTGGATACTTGCTTTTCCATTCTTATCATACTTCACTAAGAAGAGTATGTTTCAACTCCATCCACTAGACATTACCCAGGGAGAAAAAAACGTCATTTCATCATAAGGACATTTGCACTAGATTGTTTATCCCAGCTCAATTTACAGTTGCCAAGATGTGGAAATAACCCAAGTGCCCATCAACCCAGGAATGGATTTACAAACTGTGGTCTATGCACACCATGGAATACTATTCAGCCATAAAAAGATGGAGATTTTACATCTTTTGTATTAACCCAGATGTTTAGTTTTAACATTAAAGCTATAGTCATGGCTCGGCGCCTATAGCTCAACCGGCTAAGGCGCCAGCCATGTACACCTAAGGTGGCAGGTTCGAATCCCCAGCCCGGACCCGCCAAACAACAATGACGGCTGCAACCAAAAAATAGCCAGGCGTTGTGGCGGGCGCCTGTGGTCCCAGCTACTTGGGAGGCGGAGGCAGGAGACTCGCTTGAGCCCAGGAGTTGGAGGTTGCTGTGAGCTGTAATGCCACGGCACTCTACCCAGGGGGACAGCTTGAGGCTCTGTCTCAAAAAAAAAAAAAAAAAAAAAAAAAAAGCTATAGTCATAATAGCCAAAGGTGGAAGCAACCCAGGCGTCCATCCACAGATGGACAGATAACAAAATGTGGCCTGACCACATGACGGAATATTACTCGGCCTTTAGAAGGAAAGAGATTCTGACATGTGCTGCAATAAAGATGAAGCTTGAGGACATCAAACTAAGAAGAATAAACCACATGCGAAAAGATAAACACTGTAAGATTTCAGCTATGTGAGGTCCCTGGAGGAGTCCGATGCATAGAGGAAGAGGGTAGAATGGTGGAGGCAGGGGCTGGGGGAGGGAAATGGGAGTTGTTTATTTATTTATTCATGTATTTATTTTTGTGACAGAAGTCTCACTTTGTTGCCCTCCGTAGAGTGCTGTGGCGTCACAGCTCACAGCAACCTCAAACTCTTGGGCTCAAGCAATTCTCTTGCCTTAGTTTTTCATTTTTAGTAGAGACGGGGCAGGGGGTCTCATGCTTGCTCAGGGTTGTCTCCAACTCGTGAGCTCAAGTAATCCACCCACCTCAGCCCCCCAGAGTGCTAGGATTATAGGCATGTGCCAACACACCTGGCCAGAATTTTTGTTCAATGAGAACAGAGTTTTAGTTTGGAGATGGGTGGGGGACAGCTGCACAGCAGTATTTAATGGCACTGAACCGTGCAAATAGAAATGGTTACAGGGTGGCTCCTGAGGCTCGGTGGGCAGGGTACCAGCTCCAGTATACCAAGGGTAGAGAGTTCAAACCCAGCCCTGGCCCAACTGCAACAACAAAAAAAGTAGCCAGGTGTTGTGGCCAATGCCTGTAGTCCCATCTACTCAGGAGGCTGAGTAGAATCACCTAAGCCCAGGAGTTGGAGGTTGCTTTGAGCTGGGTGATACCATGGCACTCTACCGTGGGCAATAAAGCGAGACTCTGTCTCTACAAAAAAAGAAAAAGAAAGAAAGAAAGAAATGGTTACAGTGGGTGGCGCCTGTGGCTCAGTGAGTAGGGTATAGGCCCCATATACTGAGGTTAGTGGGT